GACAGAAGCGAGGCTGCCATACACAGGCGCCACCGGACCCTCTGACCACCATCAGTAGGCAAGGCGGGTAAGGTGTCTTGCCCAAGGACAGAACGACTGAGTYGACTGGATGGGAATCGAACCGGCGACCTTCCGGTTCCAGGTCGACTACCCTAACCACTCTACCACAGCCGCCCCAAATCTGGAGGATGACATTAAAAATGCCCAATCAATGTGTAAATTTCAGAGAATGAAAAAGGTTAATTTATTGGAGAAATATGTAAATGTAAGAATTGTTGCTCAAGTAGGAGTTAAACCTTTATTATTTTACTTTTTTTTGTTTTTGTAATCTGAAGATTATTTTTGATTGAATTTATTTATTTGAGAACAAAGGGGCAGCTATAATAAGATTATTTTCTTCTTCTGCTACCTTTCATTTAATTTATTATTTGTATTTTTGTTGTGTGTTGAATGTATGTTGTGTTCAGAAACATTAAAACATTATAGTGTAAAAGGGGCTTTAGTATTATTCAGATGTGTCGCTACTTTACCAATTTTACTATCATCAAAAAAATTAAGATTCCTCAAAAATTACTGGAATAAAAAAGAAAATCCAGTGAATTCATGTTTTTCAGTTACTGATTTAGGCATTTCTTGATGCATGATTTAAAGTTGCTGCCTAATAAATTGCTGTTCATCTCTAATTACATTGATTAGGCTTCCAGGCAATCCACAGAAATCCTACTTTCACTGTGCCACAACTTTCAGCCATCTTCAATACAGAACCTGCTCAGTTTGACCCTGATGAAGTCATATTGTAGAAAAGGGAATTGTAATTRGAGACAGAATGAAATTCTCTTCTAAAAACCTAACTGTCACACTAGCCATTAGGCTGCTTCATATAACATTCAGCAATCCTAATCAAGCTAAAAGAGCAAGTTCAGTTCTGTAATTGCATTGATAAAATAAATCCAYAGMGTTGTGTTTCTYTATTCTCTTTAGASAATAGAGAAAGAGACTGCATGATGAATTGTGGAATTATTTTTCAAGGCACACATATATATAAGTTTGAGTATACTGTTACTGTGTTAGTCTGGATTTGTTTCCCAGGAGGCCGGCAGTATCAAGGTAGTTTTCAGATTACAATAGCTGGTGGGCTGCCACGTTACTTATACGTCTGTCTGCTTTTGTGTGCATGGTTGTGCGTGCTTTGAATGACAGCAGCATTCGGCAGGAGACATTATGATTCGAAACATCCAGCTGAGGCATGCAGGGAAGTACACGTGTGCAGTGCAAACCAAGGTGGACAGCATTTCCATTGCAGTGGACTTGGTTGTTCGAGGTAAGTTATCTCATACTATAACCAGCTTCATGCTATGAGGGAATGAACTACTGAAAAGTTTGCCAGGTAATTTTTTTAGGGGGGGTTCAAGATTTAAAAAAAAAGTCTACTGTCTAATTAGACCGTATAGATCCCAAAGGTTTTACTCTGAACTGACTTTGCTTCAGTTGCTGCAGGTGCTAAAACCACTCTGTTTCTGCAATCTTTCCATCTCATTCTCATTTACATTTACCCTCCCTCCTTTACCCCTGCTCCTCCATCTATCCCGCTATCTCTCTCTCTTTCCTCTTTCTTCACTGGCTATACCATCTATCAGGTCCCCCAGGCCCCCCCACTGGCATCCATGTAGAAGAAATCACTGATACYACAGCCTCTCTGTCCTGGAGGCCTGGTCCTGATAATCACAGTCCAATTACAGCATACACCATCCAGGCCAGGACACCATTTTCCCTGGGGTGGCAGGCTGTCACCACAGGTAAGCTCTCTCCAACCAGCCGTGGTCTTCTACAGTCACAAGGAGGGGGCCACTCTCCACTCTGCCTGCCTGTGAAAATATTGAAGATGTAATTTTTACTCCAGCACGAAATGGCACACAATAGCATCTGAATCATTGACCGCTATATTATCGGACTCCTGGGAGCCCTGAAACATGGATCTCTTCCTGATGATGAAGTGTRTTACCAGGACTGCAATATGATAGTGTAGTTACATAGCACATTTTCCTTAAYGGGATCCTTTCTATTCACGCATTATTGGTGTAATGTGCTTTTGTTCTACACCTTACTATACACATGCACTATATATTTTRCAAATTAAAGCCCACTCCTATCTGTGATAGTTTTTTCTCCTGTTGTTGGTTTGTAATGCCTGAAAGTGTTCCCTAGCTTTATAGAACATTTGTTTTGCAACATTTGTTTTTCAGTGGGGAAAACTCATCATGTGTTAGTTTGGTTTACATACTGCTACGTAGATAAAATAATGCTGAATGTATTGTTTCATGCAGTCTTTTAAGGCCCCATCCAAATGGGAACAGCKTTTTAAGATTATGAAAAGGTGATTAATTGTTTTAGTCTTGCAACAATATGGGATTGGTCTTTAAGGAACTCTAAAATGGTATAATTTTAAAACAGGTTCCAGAGTTAGAAAATCTCCAACCTTAATGTATTTTTCTGTGTTTCTGTGTGCTTGAAACAGTTTATCGGCACGATGGATCAGTGGTTAGCACYGATGCCTCATAACAACAAAKTCCTTGGTWAAATCCCTGGTTTGGACCTRGGGTTTTCTGAGTGCTCCAGTTTCCTCCCATAGAACAAAAACATGCACATTACATTGCCTTCCATTCCAGGTTTTATTTAACAATGTCATGTTTGAGTATATTTTCAGAGTCAACTAATGAAAATATTGTTTTTGAAAAAAATGCCTTTTCATGTTGACAAAACCTAAAATTCCTTTATTTATTTATTTTCATTTTTAGGTTTAATGCATCTTTGTGGTGAATTACTAATGTTACCATTGCTCCAGTTTTTTTTTAGTTCTTTCAGGTCTGTCAGGCTGCAGAATAGACTGCTGCTGTAGTTTAGCTAACACACTCATGGAAATCACACTCTGGACTCGTAAAGTTTTGTTAAAACTGAAGGCGCTGTTTGTCTTATGCCAGTTCCTGACATGGTTGGGGGCCACCAGTTGACAGCTACAGTAATAGACCTGAACCCTTGGGTGGAGTATGAGTTTCGAGTCCTGGCAAGCAACAGAATTGGAACGGGTGAACCCAGCAAGCCATCGAAACAAGCAAGGACAAAGAGCAACTGTACGTATTGTAACCTGTTGCATGTTTGTTTTGTTTTTGTTCGAGAAGAATATAATTTTAACAGCTTAAAGTTATTTTTTGTTTGATTGTTTGATGCATCAAACAACACATTGATGCTCCAGTATAGTTACATTTAACAAGTGTTCAGGATTACCTGGACACTTTATAATTAATGGATGACAAACTGCCAGAAACCTTCCACTCAACACTGCAGCCTAACGCAACGTTAGTGGCCAACTAGTTGCAGATAATGTTACTTTTCACAGGTAAACCAGGTGGTAACCAACCCGTAACTAAGTTAAAAGGCAATTACCAAATAAGCGTACATTTTTCAGAAAGAAATGAACGCTTGTAAATGTCATCTGCTGGTATTAAATGAAGCTGTAAGTCTGACGATCTGTTGTATAAAAAGTCATTTAGCGGTAATTATTTTCTAGAYATTCTGAAGTTACTCTTTCAGGAAAAAATACATAACACATATATTTAGTATGTTTTTTGCATAATTCCATTTGGAAAATTATGAATGTATTAAAAATGTTCAAAATTTACGCATAAAGTAAACAGTGTAAAGTTTAGACCAATTTGGTTTCAAATTCACACGTTTTTTTTTATCAGTATTAATTTAATGTATTTTCACATGTGATTTCTGTTTGTGTTTTTTCTGTAAAAGTACACAAAATATTATTGGTTTTCTTTCTGCTGCTTTCTTCAGCAGTCACCACAGTAAGCAAACTCACATGAAAGATTTGGCAATGTTTGATTCCARATACCCTTATGACTCAGCCCTCTGTTAAAAATAAGCGGCCATCAGAGCACCAACGTCATTAGTCTGATGGTTCTCTTGCATGTGAACAATCAGTTTTGATTTTCACCGGTAAACTTGTTGATCCACTATTTAAAGGTACTGCTTATAAGGTTGAAATACCCAAGTAGGGGTCTTTGCAGAACGTGTTGTCCTGTGGGCGGAGACGGCCCAACTCGTCATTGGCTGAGGTCTTCATGTGGGCGGAGACGTCCCTGCTCGTGATTAGCCGACGTCTTAATGTGGGCGGAGATGGCCCAAGAGATGTGATTGGTTAGATTGACGGTGGGGTTTGGGGAGGCTGGAGGCAGCGAGAAGTAGCTTGGTCGAGTCGGGCAGGAAGCAACGTTTTTTTTAATTAATTTTGTCATAACTTGAGAAAGAGTGCTAGCTGCACAAAATTTGAACGTCATACATGTGAAGGGATATGTAAGAATATGACTCGGTCAAAACATCCCTAACCAGCCTGTCATTTTTTTTTTGCAATCTTTTTACAGGCTGGTTAGTGATGTTTTAACCAAGCCATATTGTTACACATCTTTTCACATGTACGACGTTCAAATTTCGTGCAGCTAGCACTTTCCTTTCTCAAGTTATGACTAAAATTTATCTTAAAAACATGTTGCTTCCTGCCTGACTCGATCAAACTACTCCCCGCTGCCTCCAACCTCCTCAAATCCCACCGTCAATCCGACCAATCACGTCTCTTGGGCCATCTCCGCCCACATCAAAACCTCCACCAATCACTAGTAACGTCTTCTCCGCCCACAGGACAAAACCTACTGCAGAGATCTTTACTCGAAATACCTGCAACTCCTGACTGCAGAAGTCTCCTGGAGAAGAGCTGAAACGTTTCAACCACTAAAAACTCTTTCAAAGGACCTACTCAACGTTATTTTGATTTTAAAAGATCAGTTCACATACATACATTAAAATTAATTAACTCATGTTTTAAATTTTTGAATTAAATTTGAGCTGTTCTGCCTGCTTATGGAGTGTAGCATCTGGCTAGCTTGATAGCATGTGTCACATGTCACAGTTTAGCCATGTCTCTGAGGATAATGATCTTAGTCTCCAAATTTTTTGTAGTTGACGACGCAAAATTGACTTTCATTTAACTTGTTCACCAACAACTGTATATTTGTGATGAAAATGCCGGGAAATATAGCTAATGTTACACTGTGTTTAGCTTAGCTCATAGCTTTCCCTGCTTACCGTACGTTTGTTTATGGTTTCAATATCAGTTATGAGACTTTGGCTCACGGGGAAAGTATATAGACTTCAGTGTTTTGGAAATTTCAGGGGTTAGTCTGATAGTTGTGATAACTCTACTGGAGAAATGTATTCTGATTTCTAAAATCTCACGATATAAAGCACCAAATCACAACAAACATCTCAGGGTAGGTTACTGCACAAAAACATTCAAACACAGTATWAAAGCCACTTAGTAAAAGTTATCAATCTAAGGAGGCCTGCAGATTGCATTAATCACTTTATCACAGCCTCCCAGCCTGAGCAGCACATTGGCAACATTGGAAAGAAAAAAACTTCCTTTAAACAGAAAAAAAAAAAAACCTCCAGCAGAACCAGAACCAGGACAAAGGGCCATCTGCTTTGACTTGTGCTGGCTTTGAGAGGACAGGAAATAGATACAGACAAACACAAAACCAGGCCAGGTGTAACTTTTTAAAGGAAGAAAGACAAAGTAACACGTGTTTAAAATAGAAATAATTACACATAAAAAGKAAAGACAGCAGCAAACTAAGGAAAGCGGTCAATTTGTCCTCCAGCAGTATAAGCCTATAGCAACAGAACTAAGGGATACAGCAGCTCAGGAAACCCAAGCCAACCCAAGCTATAGGATTTATCAAAAAGGAAAGTTTTAATTCTTGCCCTAAAAGTAGACAGTGTCAGCAGTCTGTCTACTCACACTGCATCACACTGTATTGTCATGTCAAAAGCAAAAACATGACATCAAATTTTATTTTGTCTTTTCAAACAACATTCTAAACAATTGCAGAAAGTTAAAAGGTAATAATTATTTATATTTTAGATGTAAAAAGTTGCCAAGTTGCCACAGAAAAAACAAAGATTWTTTTGTTTTTAGACGTCTTTGTGCAGCTAACGTGGCTGAGCTAATCTGTTTTCTTCCTGCAGCTCCGAAGGTCACTCCAGCTAGTGTGAGTGGAGGTGGAGGCAGTCGCTCCGAATTAGTCATCACATGGGAGGTAAGCAAGACCCCCTCACCCATGGAGAAGGCAGCCAGACACCATTACTCTCTTTGGATCCAGGCCCCTGTTTCATTAATAACTAGTGAATGGCTTAATGTATGGCATTTCATTTTTAGGAACAGAGAGGCAATAACTGCTGCTGTCACCGAGGGAGAGTAAAAAATGCTTTTGAGGTTTCATTAAGATAATTAAACTCAATGGTTCCTTCAAAGTCAAATCTTTTTTTTTCCAGATCATTTTCCCTTTCTTTCTTTTTTCCCTTTTTGTTTGGCTTTGTRGATTTCTGTTCAAACAAAGCTCCCACATATGAACAGAGCTTCAAAAGCCTCTATGTATGTAGACTGCTTGAAATCATCCTGCTGTAAAATGTCTCATAAAAATCAGTCTTGATGTTCAAGACACAAAGCTTTAATTAAATGACAGCTGAAAAATGCTTATATTTGGACTCCGTCATGAAAATTCTTGAGGCATTTCCCTTTGACACAAAAGTAGAAATGTGTGTGTGATTTTAACTTTTGCCTAAATAAAAAAAAAGCCTTTGTGTTTCTGTTAGCTTGAAGCTGAAGCATGCTTTATGACCACAGGGGACCAGCTTCTTGTGGTTATGACAGTTTGAGGAAGTTTGTGTGTCTTTTTGTGTCTGCGCTGTTGGTAGACTGGACATTTGCCATCTTTTTACAGCAACTTTTTATTTACTTAATAATAATAATAATGCATTATTAGTCTTATATAGCACTTTTAGAGACCCTCGTTCATTCACACACACATTCACACACTGATGGTGGTAAGCTACATTTTAGCCACAGCTACCCTGAGACATGCTGGCACTACTTCAGGTCTTTTTTTTTCTCATTGTCCAACTAGATCCCACATAGCTGTAGCTTATATGATCCCCGCATGCAAAGCATCAGTGCACCAGAACTCACCTGGACAGAGTTATTGTCTTATAGCCCCTCATCAGAGCTAAAAAACAAAACAATCTGAAGCTCCTGTGTGAATAGTTTTTGAGTTATAAGCATTTTTGTATGTCCAGACACCCCCTGTCTAGATGGAGCCCCGTCCTCAAATATGAGGTCTATCTTAAAACCATTTGTTGACACAGTATAGGTCAGACACATCTACATTCCTGCCAAATTTCATGTTGATTGGTGCAGCCGTTTTCATGGTTGACTAAAAATCACAGAAAACAAAAAAGACGGTATGAAAATAATATGAACCCCGCTTCACGTGCGGGGGATCATAATAAGTATGTGCTTTGTTGACTAATGCTACACTCACACCGAACGCATTTTGAGCAGCAAAAATGCAACCAACGCCTCAAGTTGGACACGCTATGTTCAGACCGGGACACAGACTAGAGGTGCGTCTGAAGAGGCAGATGAAATAAAGATAAAATAAAGAAAATTGCTTTGCTTTATTTACTAAAGAGCAAGCGAATGTTGCAAACCAGATAATTAATTCACCAGATGATTTAGAGRCGGTCTGTTTGGTTAGTTTCACCACACCAGGAGCTGTGATCTGACGAAATATTTTTATCCCGAGCCCACACCACGGTCAGTTTAACGAGCTGCTGACCTGCATCGGTGCTGATATCTCCAGCCAGAACACCAACTGCAGACGGTCGATTTCAGCTAAAGAGCTCCTGTCTGTCTGTTTCAGGTTAGTGGGCAACATTCAGGAAACCGTCACGTGGAAAAATTAATCTCTCTGATTGGTTGACGCTGCGTGTCGAGCAGCAAAAGTTCAGATTTTTGAACTGGAGCATTGGCTGCTTTCGCCACACCGCATGCACAGAAAATGCTCTACCGCTACCTTCTGCTTCGTTGTACGCCGCGCTAAACAGACCTGACACGCTGCGAGACCCCTAGAGGAGCGTCCACAATAGACTTTGCATATAAACCAGCCGCTCCTGCAGCTCAAAACGCATTCGGTGTGACTGTAGCATAATAGGGATTTATGAATGAGATGAGGAGCTATGACTGGACTATACAAAGACCTGTGTTGATTACCCGCACTATTAAACTGTAGTTACATTGCTATATGTATATCCCAGCATTCCTTGAAAGAAGTCACACTGCCTGTCAAATCATGCCAAACTTTTAAACTCATTCACTCACTTTTCTTTCTGCAGCCTGTTCCAGAGGAGCTACAGAACGGACCGGGGTTTGGCTATGTGGTGGCTTTTCGTCCTCATGGTGCCACAGGCTGGATGCAGGCAGCCGTCCCATCACCTGAGGCTTCCAGATATGTCTTTAAAAATGAGAGCATCCAGCCATTCTCACCTTTCCATGTCAAGGTTGGAGTTTACAACAATGAAGGGGAGGGGCCATTTGGATCTGTTACCACCATCTACTCTGCTGAGGAGGGTCTGTTTATACTTATGTCATATATAGTACTGCATTTTAACAGAAATAACCAGTTGGGGAACAAAGCCTGTTTCCGAGCTGTTTATTTTTTCAGAACAACTGACAGCTTATTTTTTGTGCTATGTTTTCAGGAATGGGACACTAAACATTTCAAGATGTTCAGTTGAGGTTCATTCTGCACTATCGTTTAAATAATTTGTTAATCATAAACTCTAACATAGAACCAGTTGTCACATTAAGTAAAGTATGGCAGTATTAAAAGCCATGTCAACTTGCATGCCAGCATTTTAAACTAATCTCACCTTATTATGCAAAAAGGTGTAACGAGTTGTACCTGCTGCTGTCACACCTTGTGCTATAACGCCAGCTCTTGTGTGACATGTTGAAGGTGACTCACAGCTACTACCACATAAAATTAAGTTCAAGATTGGTAAATCTGACTGAGTTATGTGTTTTAAGTTCTCTTGGGTGTGGCAGACATATTTAACTGAGTTGATTCCAAAAGTGAATGAGTTGTTGAATTATTTCTAAACGCTTCATTGAAATCCATTCAGTGGTCCTTGTATTTTGAGAACAAAAGTTGACTACAAATGTTAATGGAAATTTTTTTAAAAATGGATTGTGCAGTTAGTTAGCAGTGGTGGGCACTAGTCCCCTAAAGCAGAGATTCTTGACCTATGCCGTGAGCGCCCCCTTGAGGGCCTCAAAAGAACAACAGTTTATAACTTTGGGCCCCAGAGGGCCGTGGGACCGCATTGCTTTTAAATAAGATGCAATACACTTTCTCACCACTAGTAGCGGTAGTGCACCACTCAGATGTTTAACAACCTTTTAAATATGTAGAAGAAGAAACTTAGATACCTGCCAAAAATGGAAACTTATTTTAAATGAAAAATAGAAGCAAAAATGAAGGTAACTCATCAAAAAAGGCCAAAGTTTGTCGCTGATATGAAGTGAAGCTTCTATTTCTATCATGCAGTATTTTAAAAGTTCAGAACATTATCAAATACAGTTGCAGATACAGCTATATTTTAATTTGCACTTTATCAAATTATTTTTTGTAGTTTATTTTAAAATATTTTAATGTATTTTAAAGAGTTATTGTTTATGTTAAATATATGTGTGTGTGTGTGTGTGTGTGTGT